TCGCCCACTGGTTGCCTCTGGCAAGTCACTTTCTCTCTGTCCTGCTGCTTCCCTGCCTGCCTGCAGAATACCAAGCTCCTCTGTAAAGTGATCCGAGGCTTATCCAGGCAAAAGACTTAGAAGTACTATGGACTAGTAGCACTATTTGCTGTATTTGTTAACATTTGATATTTTGAAAACAGGTATTAAAAAGCTGGTGGTAAACTGAAATTATGCAAGTGCCATATTAACAGTTGCCAGAGCAACCTTAATCCTGTCCTAGGCTGATCCAAAGAGGCAGAGACACTATTAGAAAAAGCAGTAGTGAGCAAATAGACAAAAACTTAGGTGCTTACACACTCCCAGATGAATTAAGGTTTCATGGGCAACCATAAAACTCACACTCTAACTTTGAGCTCTGCAAGCCAATTATGATTATTTTGGAGATGTTCCTGTATGTAAATTCTTCTTTCCTACAGAAAAGAATAATACCAAAATGCAATAGCCAGAATATTACAGTCCATAATCTGTAGCAGAGTTACAGATCTGGAAACAGCAAAGGCTACCACGCTCTGGAGAAGACAGCTGTGCTGGTGAAAGCTCATACTCCCCTCTACCTCCCGAGGATGAGCCCAAAACCAAGCTGTCAGCATGGAGACCATCCTGGGCTTTCTTCCTAATTCAACCACAGTTCCCAGGTACAGGCACTGTCATGGGTAGGACTGCTGATCCAACCCTGGTGCCAGCCTAACTCTTAAAACTATTGTCTCCAAACTGTGATGTGCACTGAACGCTACCTGCTTCATGACCCAGCACAGTGCAAATACCTGTTCACATCAGAGGTGATGCTTCCCACAGCCGTGTCTCTGGCACACTGTCCCTGCTGGTACGGGGCTTGTGGACCCCTGCTTGCCAGTGGTTTTATTTAGCTATCTGTCAGGTTGCCAAGAATTTCCCATGGTATGTGAGCAGCAGGAGGGAGAGTGTTTTTACAAAGTTTGTAACTCCCCTAAACATGACTGGAATTTCCACCGAGAATGATGGCACAGATCTAGCCCAAACACCTTCCAGAGGAATTTGAAAAGTCTGGAGCAAACCACAGAGGCATACGAACACCTCAGAAAAGACTGCCAGACTTTTCTACAGCAACAGTCAGTGACCTAGATGTCAAAGTAGCCACACCTGCCTAGGAAAAAATATCACATAGAAAGTTTTTTTCAAAACCTCTCTCCTCCCTGCCTCTTCCCTGCCAGTCAAAGTTGGTAGCAGTAAGACAAGCCTTTTTATTAACACATTAGCACTGTGGGTTGCATTGTTTTCTTCTCTCTACATGTGGGAATTCTGGTCTTGGACCCTGAGCCAAGGCTAGAAAAGTAGCTCCCAAAGCCATGCAACTATGTCCCCATGAGCACATCCTCTGCTCAATACCACAGATCCATGTCCCTTCAAGAATGGGTCCAAAAAAAAGAGAGTCCCAGAGACACAATCTATGGACTAAAAGCCCCAAAGGCTGAAAATAACCAACCAAGTGCAACAGTTTTGCCTCAAGTGGGTCTTCAAAGTGCCTTCCCAGCTGGAAAGTCTAACCACCACCATCTCCTCTTTAAGCAGGCAGCAAATAAACTGGCCTCAGCTGTGTCCCAGCTTGCCCCATGGCCCCCTTCTTCCCATAAAAAAAGGCAAGGCCAGGCCAGTCCATCCCGCAGCAGCCTGGTCTTCCCACAGTCCTTCACACCTGAAGGCAGGTGCACTTTACAACACAGCTTCACCCACCATGTCAGTAACTCATCCTCCCAACAGCCCAAGCACGACTCGCTCTCAGACCCAGTATGACAAGATGCAGACTTTGCCTCCCAAGAACAAACACGACTCATTGCTCTCAGGGAGCACAACACAGCTAACTGCCACCAAAGCGCACTTACTCCTGGCACCAAGCCAAGGTGCCCTTGCTGTGCTCTGCAGAGGCAGCAGCCAACACGTCTCCTCACTTGATGCACAAGGTTGCCTTCACCAAAACTTTTTAGGTGACTGCTGTGGCTTTGAGTAACAGCTGTCTCCAAAAAGTCACCATGGAGGAAAACCCGAACAGCTTTTAAAAACCTGCAGTTCTAGTTATTTGAACTAATGCCAAGGACCCACTGCTGGTCAAGGAAGCTCCTCATCCACACCAGTTTAGGATGGATGCAATCTATGGCCTGGAGAGAAGCACATGAGAGAAAATAAGATCTTGCTGTATCCCTTAAATACTGAGAAATTTTGGAAGAACGTAGCAAACCATGCCTGCAGAGACCATGAATCTAGAGGTTCCCAATGAGACAGAAATAGCAGAGGAAGATTTGAACAATACAGACATCTGTAATAGAAAGGGTGTAAACAGCCAAAACGGGTCGCAGAGGAATAGCAGTGGAGCAGCAGGCAAAACAAAAATAGCAGGAAAGGAAAGATAAATAAAAAATTCCTAAAATATATGAGGAGCAAACAGACTGACAAGGAAACAAGAGAGCCATTGAGTGGAAGAAGTAGAAGAACCATGCAGAGGCAACCAGGGTAGGCCAGGGATTTAATCCAGCCCCATAGGGGAACACACAGGGAGGAAAGAAGACAGCTGAACTATTTCACCGCAGCAGCAAGGAGGGGAAGAGGAAGATGACTTCGTCAGGAAATTACAACCATCTGCCCTTATGAACAGCAGCACCAGCCAAGCAGTTTCATGTTCGCTCTGTAAGACAGGTGACATGCCCGGCCTGTTCTTCCACTGGATGGCTGCGGTGGATCTTCCTTCCCCATCCCCTAGCCCACCACTCACTGTCTCCCTGCTCTGGTGGCTTGGTCTTGCCTCCAGGTCTTTCAGCTATATGAGACTATTTGGGGATAGCAATGAGTGTGGCAAGTATAAAGGGGGTTCAGTAATTCCTGCACTGGGGAGAAGGCCAGATTTGTACAGCCCTGCATGAAGATAGAAGCAGTCCCTGCATCTCTTACTGCTTCCTGTTCCATCTCCACTGCTACCATGGCAGCTCCTCTGAAGCCTGGTGCGGCGAGAAGCTGCTTGTCACTGTTCTCTCCCAGAGACTTCCTCTGCCTGTGACTTTCCATTTGCTCTTGCTCCCCAAGATCCAGCCACCACAGCAGAGGCAGTTATGTCCACAGAAATCCTTCTATGGCTTGAACGACATGGGGTTTGCCCACACAGCAGAGGCATGAACCCTCATGCTTTTTTCCCTCTTACTCTCCATACCTTGCTCTGCCTGTGTCTTTCTCATCCAAAAGAATTCCCACAACAGGCAAGAAGGGGAAAAGCTAACTTACAGAAAAAAACATCTCTTTGCACACAGTGGCTCCCAAGCTCTGGCAAAAAGGACACTACGTCCAATACCCAAATAACAAGCCCAGGATGCACACAGCCTAGCCCAGAACACAGTAGGGGCCAGTGTCAAAATTCAGAGCAAGGGGGCCAGGAGATGAGCCTAGAAAGACTCAGGATAAGTAAGACACCGATGGGCAGCAGAACACCTACTGAAAGAGACAACAAAGGAGGTGACAGGAGTCTGGGAATGAGTCTCCATCCCCTGCACAGAGCTGGACACCACATGTCACTAGGACAACGGAAAGAGAAAGGACCCTGCTGCAGAGCCCATCTCCCCTCTAGTGAGCAGCAGGCGTGGGTATACACTGTGCAATGGCTGGTTGCTACTGAGATATTTCAGCTCAGGGCTGAGGAACTTCATCCCCTACCTGCAGTGAAGTCAGGCCTGCTTCCTTCTGCTGACAGAAAGCCAAGACTCCCCTATGATAACCCCAACTCTTCACCTATCACAGAACAGGCCTGAAGAAACAGCAGTTCAAAAAAGGTGGCATGGTTGTACAATTTTAAATTATTGTTTTTCTTTACTATTTATCTAACATTTTTATACCCACCGAGGGTAAGTTTGGTGCTTCCAAGCTGCCTTCTGTAACCACCAAGGTTGGCAACTTACCTTTCCAATGCAAACCGTGGCTGTTACCCAATACGATCATAGCAAAATCCAGGTCAGCAGAGACCTCAGGAGATTTCTGGTCTGACCTCCTGCTCAAAGCAGGGCCTGCTCTAAGCTCAGACAGGGTTACTTGGGGCTTTATCCAGGCTGGTCTTGTAAACCTCCAAAGGATGCAGAAAACAACCTTTCTTAACAACCTTTCTTGACAAGCTGCGCCACAGCATAGGGAAAACCTTTTCCTTCGATACAGCTTCAGCCTCTCTTCTTTCCACTTTATGCTCATTATCTCTCATTCTCCCGCCACTGTGAACTGCCTGGCTCCATCGTCCCGACCACCCCCTCACAGGGCAGTCAGTCTGCCATCAGGTCCCCTCCCATGCCACCTCTTCCCCTGGTGCACAGGCCCCGCTGCCTCAGCCCCTCCTCACCTCGGCAGCCCAGGGGCCTGTGCAGAACCTGCTCCGGTTTACCAGCGTCCTTCCTCGGGGCAGGGACACACGCGCACCCCAAATGGTAGGTTTAAAAATCCTACAAGACTTGATCACACCAGAGAGGTTGGCAGCACCCAGCATCTCCCCCGTGGGGGCTGAGGCTCACGGCCGCCCTCCGTCTCCTCACAGCGCCCAGCTCCCCCAGGCACCGCGCGCCTCTCTCGGCGGGAGGACGACGACGACCGTCTGCCGCGGGCTGCGCCGCGGCCCCTCGCCCCGGGGAGGCCGTGCCGTGAGGCGGCCG